TCTTTTAGACCTGGTAGGGTCAGGTTCCATAGGGTCTCTCCTCCCACCTGGTAGATGGTTCAATATAAATTTGAATACCACATGAGGGTCAGAGTATTCCACACTTACTCTGACCTCTTTCGGGTCAATGTCCAAGTAGGTACTTACATTGATATTCTATGATAAGTATATTTTCTCTTTACAGTTTCACATGTATTTATCAAGTAACATTCGTTTTATTGCTCATCGAGACCATTTACATATAATAGCCTTACAATGCGGTCCCATAAACATAAAACTAATGTTGATGTCTTTGTCTAGTGTTAGATGAAAATAACAAATTATGATTTATATTACAAATGTTAAGAGGTGAGAGGAACTTAGGGTTAACTTCATCATGTATACAGTAGCGATTTAGGGTTAACATCATCACGTATACAATAGCGATCTAGGGTTAACTTCATCATGTATCAAGTAACGATGAAATTCACATAGTAAATCAGTTTTATGCAAATTTTGCGCGAAATAATTTAGCGAAGAGTCTATCGTAGATTGTTTGTATATTTGTGCAGAAATTTTGACAAGATGGATCTGGGCACTTTGTATGCTATAGTTAGTAACGAGTTTTGTATCTTTTGTAGTTTATTTATATGTTTCGGTGTTATATTAATCCATGCCAAGCATGCATATTCTATTACTGGGCGTATGTATGTTATTCATCAAACTGTCTAGAAAACAAAAAAATAAAGTAAATTTTGAAGGAACCTTCTCGGAGTCATTTTCTCCAGAGGCAGGGGTCCCACAAGAAGGGAAAGTTAGCCCTATGCTATTCATCATGTATGTTAGCAACATGCCACTCAAAGATCCAAATCATGCTGATGATGTTGCGGTCTGGAAAAAGTGCACCCACACCTACAGTAGCAACAACAGCAATTAAACAATATTGTGGAATATTGCCAAAAATATCGGATCAAAATAAACGTCCCCCAAAATGACTAATATATTTCTACACGTATTTCACTAACAAGAAGTTACCGCCTAGTTCACAGTCAACTTAAAGTTCTAATTGACTATGAGGAGCATGTTACTTTAACAGGGCTTTGACTGTAGTTTGTTTGTAATTAAACACAAAGCTACACAATAGGCTATCTGTGCTCTGCCTACCACGGGTATCGAAACCAGGATTCTAGCGTTGTAAGTCCGAAGACATACCTCTGTGCCACTGAAGGGCGGCTTTGACTGTAAGTGGAGCCTCTCAGTTAAAGCGCAAATTCTTCGGAACCAATCACAACAAGCGACACAAATCAAAATTATATTAATAATAAGACACCTGTCAAACATGTTAATATGGTCTAGCTTTGGATTATATCAACTTATACAACTGTGAGATACATTTTTCAAAACTCAGACACATCCTTAATAAAGGCTCTGACGTGGATCCGCCTAATCAGTGGCCTGATATATATATAATTAGACAGTCACATCATGGTACATAAGTAAGAAAATTACCAAATTCTTCATAATAAAATCAAACGTTCTTTGATTTTAGGTTTTTTATTCTCAAAGCAAGTTTAACGTGATTTAATCACATAATAAATATTGTACAACTAGATTTTTAGTTGGATTTTTGAATGAAATGGCGATTTTAATAATTAAGCATTAAAATCAAACAAGAGATACATGAAAACATCTATAATTACCTAGTGCTGCCATCTAGTAATCAACTTTAATCATACTTAAAATGTAATCGCGTGATGACATAGTTTCTGGGCCAGATGTGCAATATGTACAAAACAAATTAAAATTTCAAACACACTGTAAATAGAATGTAAATAAAACTTTATAAGCTCTTTATACACTGTTTGATAGTAAACAAATCAAATGCAGAGCAACAAGCCACCTAAGTACTTGAGAAAGTCGGTAGAGTAAAAACAAAAAAAATTCACAAAACCACAAATATGTCAATCTGCGAAATATTTGGAAAGGCTACCACATATATCTTATCTGGACATTCTTCGTGAAATGATTCTTTCGTTGGCACGTGATCAATTTATAGATGCCTTAACAGACTGGAGGTATGAATGAAGACCAGGATGAAGCAAAGTAGATGTACATCTTTAAAGGAAGCTCTGCAATTGGCAATGGAACTTGAATCCATTAAAATCAAAGATGAACTAGTAAAACACCATCTAGAAGTTATGGGAATATCAGACCCTTCACTATTGAACAATCTGGAAGAACTGAAACAATTAATTAGATGACTACTAGCAAAAGATAATAATCAACAGCTATCATCAAGCCGAGGAGACAGAGCCTAACCATACCGAAGGAACAACACAGAGCTAGCGAGACATCAAGAAAACAGGAATTAGTTGGATTCATGAGGTGACGTTCACCTGTAAGTACTCCATCTACCACAAGCGAGAAAAGTACTTCATTATTTTGTATAAGTTCACAGGCTTATCGATGGAAAACCTTGTACTATGCTAATTGACACTGATTCCACAGCTACAACCAGTCATCCCAATTTGTTAATGAAAGGAAGGAAGATGTCTCATGAGGAAATGAGACAGATTGGTATAATCAGCAGATTGACATATAATTCCAAGTTTCAGCAAAAGGGAAGTTACCCTTATTATAGAAAGCTTCTCTGTGCCTCATATGTTGATAATTGACATACAGGGAGAGCACATTTTGGAAGCTGACTCATTGCAGAGACATGAATGTGAGGTCAGGATAGCTTTATATTTTATGACCAGGAAATTCCTGTACATTAAATGGTAATTACTACACAAAAGGTTGAATGTCCAATGGAACTGTGGATAGTGGTCTTTGTGCCACCAAGAAGTGAGATACTCGTATCATGAGTTAATATCAATAATTCTTTATCTAGTGACTTGGTGTAGTGGAACCAAATACTTCAGCATATTATAAAATATTAATGGTTAGAAGAACTTTCCTGGATATGAAGAGTAAAGATGTCTTACATGATCCTAATTCAGGAAAAAAAAAGAAAAAAAGACTTAAACCTACTTGTAATAAAGTTAAATGGGTTATGCTGTAAATGCTGGTAAAATGGATTCCACCCAGGTGGTATGGTATGACTGAACAGTTCTTACAACAAGAGTGGACAACTTCCAAAGATAACAATGTGCTGGGAGGGTCCACATTGAAAAGAATTACTAATGAGGGTTACAGAATTCAGAAGGATAGATGATCCAAACCAAAAGTCATCCGTTGTAACTGTCTTTATAGGTATTATGGTAAGAGAACAGCCAAGTGGACAATTCAAAAGAAATATATTCTCAGTGGAAATTCAACTTGCTGAGGAGCTCCTACCGAGACTACTTCCAGAAGATCATCAAGGCTGGAGCCACCCAAACACATACTCAGGAAGAACTCCCCCAGCAACAGGACGGTCAGTAACAACAAGATGTCATCTCATCCGTACACCAATGAAAGAGAAAAACCACCAAATATACTTGGTGAATGGACAATTTTGTTTCAGGAACTTCACCATTCGGGAAGGGGCAGTGTTGTAAGATATATTTTTAATGTTAACAAGAGGGAGTTGAAGGTCGTAATAAAACACCTAGAAAGTTTTAAGAATGTAACATCAAGTTTTTTCTAGTATATTCCAAGTTAGATTATGAATACGACGTAGCTATATAATGTGTAGAGTTGTGAAAAAGTTTTCAATAGTAAAGTGAATTGAAAGATAGTTAATGAGTGTAATTTTCTTAAGATGGAGAGTTCAATCAATCGATGTGTTTTACGTGAAGTATTTGGAACTATGTTTGTTATCTCCTTTATCTAGTTACTTTGTACTGTTGATTTGTTTTACGTTAGTCAGTTAACGTCATTTGTAACGTATGCTACAACTTACGATAGTGTGTACCAGTCTTTGAATTATTTATTTAAAGGATGTATTGCTAGCAATTTACAACTTTATTTGAACTCTTTCTAAAATCTTGTAAAGAATGATACTAGTAACTGTTTTTCTGACATTATGCAAGATGTTGACAATTTTACAAATCTTTAAATTAAGTTTCTAATGTCACACTTCACAACGGCGATGGAAAAAAACGCCAGTAATAACCGTTCCTAGCTTCACTTTATTATACAAATGTTTTTTAAACTTCAGTGTTATGGAACAACCATTGGTAATACTATTACGCCTACTAGCGCTACCTACAGGACTTTTGTAATTAATACTTTTTTGTCTTTATGTTTGTTTGTAGTTAAGCACAAAGCTATACAATGGGCTATGCGTGCTCTGTCCACCACGTGTATCCAAACCCGATTTCTAGAGTTGTAAGTCCGCAGACATATCGCTGTGCCACCAGGAGGCTCGTCTTTTTGAAAACGTTAATTTAGAAGCTAATTTTTCCTTTCAAAATGGCCACTGGTATGGTCAACGATTTTCGTTTTATACTCTGTTTACGGTTCTACGTGTTAAGCCACTGGAATACCGAATATTTATTAATAAATAGTAAATATAAACTTAATTATGTCTTTGGTACGAAATTAAATAAGGAAGAAAATTTATTAAAAAAACTCTTTAGAAATGCATTAGTTAAAGGAAAATTAACGTTTAATATTCCATAATTTATACTCAGTATCTTTTTTTGTGAAGTATTTAGTTATGTGAATTTCTATATAAAGAATATATTCTGGTTTCTGTGCCACTATAAGAGATTATCAATCATATGTTTTCATGTTACAAAAATGTATAAAAAACAAAGTACATTGCAGGTAGCAACAGACTGTTACTCTCTCTTACAGTATTTCCTAAAGACAAAAACAGTCAATCTTCATCAAGCACCTTGGTTTCAAAGAAAAGAATACAAATGGGCAGTAATTAGTGAGTTTGGTAACAGTGAACAGCACTATTCAAGATGTAAAATGTACTGTATTGCAAGCTTTGCTCTTAAACAACCAAATGAATAAGTAATCCACAAACTGTTCTTGTCTTCTGGGAAATACTTACCACATTATTCATTCAAATTAACTGAACAAAATTAAACTAGAAAATTTTTATTCTCCAAATGAACAGTAAAGTGAACATTCCTAAACTGACTTTTAAAATAGAATATTCAGATTTCACCAAACTTGCACACACTGATCATATTAACGATAAGTCAATAAACAAGTTCTTTCCCTTCTTCTGGAGTAAGAGTTCAGGGAACTCTACAAGATCATGGTGAGTTTAAGTGACAAAAGAAAGTTCACATGGTCACTAACTCATGAAAAGTCTGTAAACAGCATGTTCAAAATCCAGTTCATTTCATCTGTTCAATCAAATATTCTTTTGTCAACATGTGTATACATATGGTAACATCCAAGTGTACTGAGGTAGCTATCACTAGATGTCCAAAACAGTGGATCCATTACTTCAAGAAATGATGTTGTTCCAAAGCACAAAAACTTGTCTTGTGAATGTCTGAGACAGAAGCATCTATCATTGATAGAACTATCCTATTGACGTTAGTTGGATACTGTTCATGTCCATATTTTTACCAGTCACTGTGCTCATCCAGTTACACAACCTGTGAGGAAATTATTTGATATATTCTGATGATATAAAAAAAAAAGTTTTTTTTTTTTTTATGTAGAACAAACAAATGTCTTAATGACACTACATAAATAGCTAACTTTCAACACATTATTCACTGCCATATGTCCCTAACATTCCAGAACAAACCTTTCAAATCTTATGTAGTTACTCTCCTCCTTCAACAAAATCAGAACACAACGTACTTGTGTGTGTAGTTTCATACCCAAATGTGATTAAATCTCAGGAAAACAAATATTTCCAATCACTTGTATAAAGAGCAAAGTGAAATAACAGATTTAACTGTATTTTTTCAAAATTTAAAATTAAATGCACTCAGTCCAAATACTTGTTACCTGACCCTTTTAGAGTTACTCAGTTAGGCTTAAGGCAAGAGTTAATAAATTATTATTTTTCGTATTATTTAAATTTCTTGTGGTTGTCTTAAACTAGAAACTCTTTTGGTTTCACTAACAGAAAAAAAGATACTGTTACCTAAGCCATTTGTGTTTTAACAGGGAAATATACTGTTATCTAAGCCATTTGTGTTTTAACAGGGAAATATACTGTTATCTAAGCCATTTGTGTTTTAACAGGGAAATATACAGTTACCTAAGCCATTTGTGTTTTAACAGGGAAATATACTGTTATCTAAGCCATTTGTGTTTTAACAGGGAAATATACAGTTACCTAAGCCATTTGTGTTTTAACAGGGAAATATACTGTTATCTAACTTGAAATATTATTAGTTGCCTACAATTTATAAAACAATACATCAACTTATTTTTAATAAAGGCAGCATTCTCTAGTGGCTTTTGAATAATACAAGCACCTTGTTGAGTGATTCAAAAAAAATTTTAAACAAGTACTCTAAATTTTAGTAATATTGTAAGTAATTTTTCTTTAAGTAAATAAACGTATACATAAACTGCAACCAAACTGAAAAAGTAACACTGCATATACTGAATAACCGGTTTAAAAACAGAAATTTGACTTTCAATAATCCGAGAATAAGATCAAACACTGCATATATTCAATAATTGGTTTCAAAATGGAAATTCAACTTTCATTCATCCATGCATAACGTAAAGAAAAAAAGAAACCATTGATTGTAAAACTTAACAGACATTTGTTGCTTCTTCCACTCTTGTACAGAATGATGAAAGACAGGTTTATTTGAACTTGTACGCTTCAGTTCACTTTTTAAGATTGAAAAGATCCTACATTTCTTATTGTAGTTAAAGATAACATACAACCCATTATCAGGGCTGTATTTAGACCTTTTGAGGCACGGGCGGCACTGTCCCTTATAAACTTCACCATCACATTTTTTATAGCTCAATTACAAGGATGTTACCAGAATGTATACCAAGAAACATTAATCAAACAGACATTCAAAAAAGTTAACTCCTAACTTAATATCTCAATCTCTAAAGCACAAAACATTGATTAAATTAAAACCTTTACTTAAACAAACTAACCTTTCACTTAGCAATAATGTTCAAAATTATTTTTTTACTTAAACACGCCATTTCATGTATCGGTATGTCTTGATAAGATGATTTTACAAAATACATATGAAGAAAGTATATTCAAACCGATCTTCCTTTAGATACATTGCAAGTTAAACTAGTAATTACTATAAACTATATATATTTATTAAAAGTTTTGTTTTTCAAACATTGTAGTTCTGTTATATGGTTGAAAACAAGAAATCAAAACGTAAATATCAAAGTTTTTTTTAGCTCACTTACTTATACACAACTGAACTCGTATTCACCAAGGCCTGTTGTTTCACATACAATAAAACCTAGGGGCTAAAGTTCATTAAACTAGCTATCTTCCACCAACCTGACAAACACATGGTTTTTCACTCTGAATAAATTATACAAGACCTCAAGCATTTAAAGAGAATAGTAAATACAGTTATAAAAGAAAAATGTAATAGTGGTAGAAACAAAGCAGGAATGTATAAGAGTGACTATGTATATAGCATGTCTTGAACATTATATATACATAGTATCAGTAAAATAACAAAAATTGACAACATTCCAAATAAACACTTAAATCTTTTGAAGAACCAAAATTATGTTTTGTGATTATAGTTAAGAGAAATAAAAATACATGGATTTTGTACCAAAAAACATATGTTCTGATCTCATTGTGTTTCCAACTATGATACATCTCGGCTAGGGAAGTTTATATTTAGTGTTTTCACTGTATCTAAATTGACATATTCTTAGTAGTAGATAAAATGGGAAAATAAACAGATCCCCGTGTCTTTTTTTTTCTTTTCATAAAATATGTATTTTTGATTGGTAAGGTATAATTGAGTAATATACACAGCTCTTTCTGCTAGTGTTAAAATTTCCAACATAAAGCAGTTTACAAATAGAATTTTTGTAGCAACAAAATGTTTGTTTAGTGCTTGATTATAATGTTCTATATATTCAAAAGGTAAAAAATGCACTGACTTTTTATGCATCTAATATATTTAATTATTACAGTGGTTGGTTTAAACCAAGCATTTATCATCACCATAGTTGCAACAAACCAAGTCATCACATCCAAAAATAACAAATCACCTATTTATAACTAAAACCATAAATTTAATTGAAAATTTAAGTATTCAGAACATTGACAAAAAAATTAATAAATTTCTCCTACAACCAGTTTTCTTGCTAGTTTTGCAGGTTACACTAAGAATAAGAAAATATTATAAAAACATATGTTATAGATACTATACAAGTTAAAGACTGGTGTTGACTTTTACTACTAAATTCAGACTCCCATATCTCAGTATAAATAAGAAACAGTATTTTAACTGAGTAAAATTATATATCAATTTAAATAAATAAAATATAATTAAATACTTCTTCTGTAGTCTTTTTGTTTTTTATAACTGAGAAAGGCCCAGAAAAAAAGCTTTTGTTTCAGATAAATTTGATAAAAAGTAGGGATGAGACAACACTAGTTTTGGTTGGATATCTGGCTCTTGATATCCAAACGGATTCAGATATTTTTGGATTGGATAGTAGATGTGGCCATACCTATTGAAAACGTACTGCATGTGTGAGCTCCTACTTCATTATAACTAGTTACTTTGTCATTGTTTTTGAAAAGTTAATAAGGATATATCCCACGTGAATGAACGGCCGTTGCAGGCACTTTAAGGGATTGTGGCACTTAGCGACATGACAGAATACTTTACCGAGACTGCTGTGCTTGCTCTTCCAACCATACCTTTGGTGTACAGTGGCAACATATCTGATGGACGTGATGTTTATTTAAACCACATAACGAATATCTGCACGCTCCCACTCTTTAAAACTGGGAAATATGGTATTGTGTGTCCAAGCTAATGGAAAGCACCTGTGGGCTAGAAGATGCAATACCTATTATGTTTGACATATGTACAAGTAATATAATGAAGTGAGATAATCCATTGATGGAAATGCTATCTGATTAATCAATTCATTTCAAAATTAATATCCAATCAGATTGGATTTCATCTGATAAAGTCCGATCGGATTGAATATTTATCCCATCCCCAATATGCTCGATTAAATCCAACCTAAATGATAAGATTTATTGTTAATACAACAAACACACAACGTTAAAGTCCGATCGGATTGAATATTTATCCCATCCCCAATATGCTCGATTAAATCCAACCTAAATGATAGAATTTATTGTTAATACATCAAACACACAACGTTAAAGTCCGATCGGATTGGATTTCATCTGATAAAGTCCGATCGGATTGAATATTTATCCCATCCCTAATATGCTCTATTAAATCCAACCTAAATGATAAGATTTATTGTTAATACATCAAACACACAACGTTAAAGTCCGATCGGATTGAATATTTATCCCATCCCTAATATGCTCTATTAAATCCAACCTAAATGATAAGATTTATTGTTAATACATCAAACACACAACGTTTTTCAGTACATTTTTAACATTAGTTCTAACATCAAGAATACATATTATATATATTTTTCCTAACAAACTGACTTACAATCCTCTTCTGAGACCATAAGTAATTATAATAGATTAACATGCAATTAATGACGTTTTTTCTTAATAACTGGGGTCTTTTTTTCTGGTGCTGATGGGTGGGCAGATGGAGTACTATACAAAAATAGAACACCAGCTATCCTTCATGGCACATGTCTACTAGTTACCAGCCAAAACTATTAGTTCAATGGCATAAAATTTGTTTTCCTCTCACAGAAATGGATAGTTTAAAAAAATTCTTCACTGAAATGGCTATATGAACAGCTTAATAACAGACGGTCATCTTGGTTGCCATGCGGTTTGGATTGAATGCCACAATATACCAAGCTACTAATGAAATCATGCCACAACCATATGGCCATCTTCCAAGTCAGACAAGCAGGTTTCAGGGGTAGTGTTTGAAACATGGCCACCAGATGTCAGTGTTTTACTATGTTTATTTTCACCTACATGTAAGCCTGCAGCATCAGCCAACTTATCAACTGATTGCTGCTGTACTTTACTATGTTCTTTTTCACCTACATGTGAGCCTGTAGCATCAGCCAACTTATCAACTGATTGCTGCTGGTCTTGTGAACAATCATCATCCTCTGGCTCCGGTGTAGACTCACCATCCGTCAGGGAAGAAGTAGGTCGCTGGCACTTTGCAGCAAGTTCCTCATAACTGCCCGATTGAAGAAGACAAACCAAAATAACAGTCATGTTGTCACAACCAAGTCCACCCATTTGGCAGTCTGGAGCTAGACATCGTGTCATAAGTTCTTCACATATCTAAAGCAGAAATATGACACAATCATGTTTAAGAACCAAAACAGCACAAGAAATACAACCCCTAGTTCTATAAGAAAGTTAACATAAGTTAGAGCATATTTTTAATGTTACTAAAGGTGAAAGACAAAAACAAGAATTAATACACACATGTAACCTTAAGTTGAAATATTGCCGTACAACAAACTGATAAATTATACTGGTTGCAAAAGGTGTAACTCCAGAAAGATAACTTTTGCAGTTTAGAGAACTACTAGTCACTGTTCTGTAGCTGACTGAGAATGTTGTTTTTTTCACTTTCAAATTGGAAAAATGAAAAAGTAGTACTTTATACAGTACAAAGAATTCACCCACCCTTACTAAAGATTTTATAGTTCTTAAACTTAAATGTGACACAATAGTTTGTCCTTCAATTCAGCTGCTTTTCCAGGACCACCTGCATTTGAAATATAACTGTTTAGGTGCAGTTATCTTTCTGAAACTATAAACTTTGCAGAGTTCTGACAAACAATACATCTGTTTGTGTTATACTGCACAATTTAAAGTCAAGTTTAATATTCTGAGTGGTTTATGGAACTGATTTTTTTTGTAGTTTTATAATTACATACGTACACACTTTATGAAAAAAAACAATGTAGTTAAATATATCCATTTTAGGCACTTACTGCCACTTGAGTTATTATCCAATTTATGTTAAATAATGACTTACATGTTCAGGTTCCATTTTTGTTGCAATTCTTGTTCGTACAAATTCTACGACTTCTTCGTTAGTCATCACATCCCAAATACCATCACATGCCAGAATGATAAACTCGTGGTCAGAAGTTATTTCTCTTACGACTACATCTGGATATGCTGCTCAAGAATCACATAATTATTCTCAAACAATATCATGTAAACCAAATTACTCTATGCACTGTCTATATATGCATGTGCTATGTACAAAACTGACAGTAACCTGTTTTTACTCTTAAAAAGCAGAATTCTATAAACCAAAACAGAAAACATTAACAATGTAATAGCACTAGTCCAATGTCTTTATCTAAGTAAGTTAGTTTTAACAACAAATTTAGGGAGGAGCTTTATAAGTTTCCTTTTTTTTTCTTCTTTGTTATTAACTTGGATCTTCACAAGTTAATACACAGTAAGAATTACACAAAATTGCTTTTAATGGTGTATTTAGGTTTATAATATTTTCTTCCCCTGTATATCTTAGGAAAGGTTTTAACTGACACTTGAACATTTTCCACTCGTTTCAGAAGTATTACTCTAGGTCTAAAACACTTGGACTTGTAATGGTGACCAAAATCTTAAACTTAAGTAATGATATGATACACAGAACAGTTCTATGTGTCTGTATTTGTTCAGAATCAGAATAAATAAGCATTTCCAGTAAATTTTCTTTATCAATCCCTGGGACAGAAAACTCTAAATTTGTTCAATCTTTCAAAAAAAAAAACACACACCCGCCCAAAAATATAAAACTGATAAAAGATAAAGTAGATAAAATACCCAGAGATCTAACTGTTTTTAATTAAACTGTCAAACATACTTCATTAAAGATCATTATCTGGTATTAGCTACATCCAAATAACTAACAATACAAGTATAATACTGTTACTGAACATCATGATCTGGTATTAGCTACATCTAACTAACTAACAATACACATATATTACTGTTACTGAACATCATGATCTGGTATTAGCTACATCTAACTAACTAACAATACAGGTATATTACTGTTACTGAACATCATGATCTGGTATTAGCTACATCCAAATAACTAACAATACAGGTATATTACTGTTACTGAACATCATGATCTGGTATTAGCTACATCTAACTAACTAACAATACAGGTATATTACTGTTACTGAACATCATGATCTGGTATTAGCTACATCCAAATAACTAACAATACAGGTATATTACTGTTACTGAACATCTTGATCTGGTATTAGCTACATCTAAATAACAATACAAGTATCTTTCTTTTACTGAAAACTCCCTACATTTGTCTCAAACATCAATTTCCTGCTTAGTTAAATACTGCTCTTGGCTCACCTGTGACAATCTGTTCTTCTGGAGTCTTCTTGTCATTCTTTTTGAATACAAAGTCTCCTAGTGCTCTAGACAAGGCAAGGTTACCTGAATACAACAGAAAGCTCACCCCATTAACAAGTAGTGTTCTTTCATGTATAACAAAATATATCTATTCCAACAAGTTTAAATACGATCACGATCACAACTGGAAGATTCTGAACAGTAATTAGCTCATTTGGATATGTGGAGGAATGTGATTGGCTGCATTATGACATCATTTGGTTTTGCAAGAGATTACCTTGATATTATGGGATATCGATGATTAAAAATGGCGGAAAGAAAAGAAAGATACGAAGACATTCAAGAACCAATTAATTTAAAAAAATGATTAAATTATTCCATCAAAATGATGTAAAAATAGAAATAAATAAGGCACAGAGAAAAATGACTGCAATGTAAGTTTTGTCAGTGAATGCGTAGATATTTCCAGTACATATACAAATGAAACAAATTGCCATGATTCAATTTACTGTTTCTTCAAATAAAAGTTACTTGATCATGTTATGCACAGTTAATACCTACTTCATTACATGGATGGCTCACTTTCTGGAAGTCAGTGGGGGATTTGGACCTACTTGAGAAAAATCCTAGAAGCAACATTCAGTCATTATATGAAAAAAAAAAATTAGGCTATTAGAATTTCAGTTAAGGTTAGATCTCTTTTCTCATGCCTATTAACCTGGGCTTGTACAACAAAAAATTATGAATTATTTCAGCTGTTTTTTCTTGAGAAATCTTCCACTGGTAATTTGAAACTATGGGCTTCACTCTGACTTGAACTTCAAGTTTATGTGAGATAGCAAATTCTATTTTGTTATGATTCATTTGTCATTTCCTTCTTTCTATCATTTAGTTTATCTATGAATTTTTAGTCGCATGAAAATGCTAACTCACCTTTTTGTATAATCATTTGTATTTTGAGTAAATGTGTGTGTATGATGAAACTGATACCAGCTTCCCTAGTGGTGACGTACAGATACTATTAATGTATCAGAAGACTATGTAAATTTATGATCACAAGGTTGTATTCTTGTGACCTACTCTGTGAATAAATACCCTGCCAAAAGCTTCACTAAGAAAGAGAGAGTCAAGAGATAGTTATTGAAGGATATTGTTATTGCTTTTTGTCACTCGATATTGAGAAGTATTGTTTAAATATTGTATTTGCTGTTTTTGTGTTGGAATTAGTTTTTTTCTTTCTGGTCCCGATTCCATTATTTATGATAAAATGTTTATTAATATTGGTGTGAAGTTCTGGCCAGGCATTTGTTTTTTAACTCTGTTGAATTTATTTCTAAGTATTGTTAATAAATTGTGTTTTTGATGTTAAACCCTGATTGTAGTGCTATGTTCATTTTAGACCATTAAAGTTGGAGATATTTTTGAAACAGCTGTATACAATTTATAAAATAAATATAGAAATAACTTTTATAAACATGCTGTAATTATCTAAATATTACCCATTCATATCACTTTTAATGATATACAAGCCACTTTACCTCACAAATTCTTCCTGCAAAGTATTATCTTATAAAGTGAATAAGCCTGTATTTTTCTGCTAAAAAGCATGAGTAAACCTAAAGTTACTACACGCAATGTTTTTTATCTTGTAATGACATAAAAAACATTACATGTAGTAACTTTGTAATGACATAAAAAACATTACATGTAGTAACTTTGTAATGACATAAAAAACATTACATGTAGTAACTCTGTAATGACATAAAAACATTACATGTAGTAACTTTGTAATGACTTTACTAAAAATATGTCATTTAAGTTCAAAACATTCAATGTTTTTTTTTAATTTAGAATTTTTGTACAAAGCTACACAAGGGCTATCTGTGTAGAGCCATCCCTAATTTTAAGCTAACACTTGTATCTGATTGAATAGTGGAATTTCTCAGTCACTCTTCATAGTTTACCCAAAGCACTAAAATGCTGCAACAGGACACAATCCCTGAATCCTCAGATTCACAGACTGAATACACTGTACACTAGTCTAAATCTTGATCCCATTCTATTATTATCATTTTTTATGTTTGAAGTGTCTGTATTTCAAACATAGCAATGTTTGTAGGTTATAAGTGATAATATAATGCCACTGGACTGGAATGGGTTCAAACGCATTGTGAAAAATTTTTCAAACTATTAGTTCAACATTTGCACTTTCCTCTTAATAAACCATTTAAATGTTTCTTAAACTGACATTTATACAAAGAAAAAAAATTGCTTACCATTCACTCTGTTGAATTCAACCCAACCACCTGCTGCAATAATCCTTTTGGTTTCGGCTTCGTTTCCAGGTTTGTGGTCATACGACAACTGCTGCACATGTCCAGCTACACTTGCTACTGCCCTGGAGTCTCCCACATTACCCTGTAACAATAAACAGTCTACTGGAAATATACACAACAACTGTAACATGTAAACCACACTTTCCCTACAGAGCTCACAAGTGTTCATCTACATATAACTAACTATGTTTATAACCTACATCTTCTCTGTGTACATAAACTATAAGAAACAATATACGTCAGTGAATACAGTTTTAAGTCATTTATAAAAGCTAAAAAATACAAAATTGTACACTAATGATTAGTTTTTATATAATAGTTTCAAGAATTATTGTAATATAAATATATTTACTTCATATCTGAACAAAGCATAACCTTCCTCATTTTAGGAACAGGTTGCTTGACTACACCATTATGTTCCAAAATGTATTCCTGCTACTGTTTATAATAATTGTATTATTCTTATAAAACACTAATTAGATATCACTTTATGTCTTATGAACTTTCACTAGAAGTGCTAGACTCTACAACTTAATCACTAACTAGAAATGAAACTGTAAGACCAAGACAATAACAAGACCCTACAATCACTAACTATAAATGAAACTATAAAACCTACACAATAACAAGACCCTACAATCACTAACTATAAATGATACTGTAAAACCTACACAATAATGAGACCCTACAATCACTAACTATAAATGAAACTATAAAACCTACACAATAATAAGACCCTACAATCACCAACTATAAATGAAACTGTAAAACCTACACAATAACAAGATCCTACAATCACTAACTATAAATGAAACTGTAAGACCTACACAATAATAAGAACCTACAACTTAATAACTATAAATGAAACTAAAACCTACACAATAACAAGACCCTACAATCACTAAATGAAACTGTAAAATCAACACAATAAAAAGACCCTACAATCACTAACTATAAATGAAACTGTAAAACCTACACAATAACAAGATTCTACAACTTAATAACTAATTAGAT